ATTTACATGCTATTTACATGCTATTTACAGGCTATTTGCTGATATTCTATCTTAGTTATGTCCCCCTCTTCCCACTTTTTATACTTATCTTTTTTGTCTTTCAATTTGTCAGAGAGTTCTTTATGCAGCTTGCTGGTTTCTTTTGGGAGCTGTTATTTTTCTCTTCATTGGTATTGTGCTAGACTGGGCTTTTGTAATCTCATTTTTCAAAATTTCCCATCTTTTCTTTGAAGATGTTGTGCTTCTCATCCAAGAAGCTTCTTTAGCTGAGGAAGATTGTTGGATGAGAAGCGAAACGTCTTCAAAGAAAAATCAGTTGCCTCTTGATAAAAAGCATCTTTGGGACAACCATGACATGGATGACTGAGAATCTCCAGACATTTAGCTATGCACTTTGGGATGAACACCTTTTAAATGGTGTGGGAGTATAAATGAATTTTCAGAAAAATTGCAGACTATAGGAATCCATTTATACTTCAGTTTGATATGCAAGACAGCACAGACTCATCCCCAACAGCCTGTACCTCAGCACCTGTGCTCAACGGTGAAGGAACACAGGACACAAAACATCCTGAGAAAGCACTGCTCCAACTTCTCTTCAGAGCTGATGAAGCTTCTTGGATGAGAAGTGAAATGTCTTCAAAGAAAAACCAGAAACTCCAGTTGCCTCTTGGAAAAGCACCTTTGGGACAACCATGACCCGGATGACTGAGAATCTCCAAAGACACTCTCCAAGTATAATCAATTAATAGAAGAGAATATATAGTGCATTCAGAAAGTATTGAGACCCCCTTCACTTTTGTCAACTTTGTTATGCTAGTTGTTAAAATTCAGTGAAGGGCTGAATACTTATACCAATGTGATATTTCAGGGTTGTTTTTTCCTTTTTAATAAATTTACAAAAGTTTCTAAAATTCTGTTTTCACCTTGTCATTATAGGGTACTTAGATTAATGAGAAAAAATGAATTTCAATAACTGTAGAATTAAGCTGCAGCATAACGAAAGTGAATACTTTCTGAATGTACTGTATGTAGCTCGGGGTTGAATTGTGGATCCTAGTGCTCTCTGAGCTCATTGGTGCTAGTATTACGTAGTTGGATAATGAAACATCTGCAAGAAAACAATCAAGGTCAGAGATCACCAAGGACCCACAATGGAAAATTCCACTGGGAGAATTGAAAGAGTAGCATATTTTAAGGTCTCCGAAGTGGGGCGTGGGGACAATACCCAGCTGTGACTGCTCCCATGCCATCCTTCAAGACATGCAGTTCAGGTAAGACCAACTGACATTCTCATTCAGAGACACCCCCCTCCCCCAGAAACCCTCACAAGAGAACTCACCTGGTATGAGATTTTTTTTAAGCCTAACCACAGCATCCAAAGCAACTTCAAAACAGAAGCAGTGCTTAAGTCTAACAGATGCAGTGAAAGCAAACCTGCAGGTGACCAGATGCATGCTAGATTCAGATGTGGGGGTTCCAAGTAACACCCCTAATGAAAAAAAAGACTCCAAGGCTTAAAGTTCCATTTTATTAGTGATGTCATCTTGGCACATCTGGAAAAATCCAGACCGGAAAGCTTCCAGGTTTTGCCCATCCTGAAGGCCTAATGCGAAAGATGGCTACCAGGCAATCAGATTCATTCAACACTGGAATTCATCTCCTAGAATGCAGCTTAGAAGTGTTGGAAGCCCCCCCACCTCAAGATAATGAAATATTATGGGGCATATCAGAAAGGCAGGATGGAATATTTCCCTGAAAGAAGAAATAGAAAAAAACCTTAAGGGAGCCAGCCTGTTTCCCTGCCCCAAGCAGAAACTGAGGAGGCCAATTTATAGAAATGCAGATTTGGTAATCCATTCAGAAAGACTGAGCCAGCTAGAAACTATAGATTAGCTCAGACACACCCCATAGGATTTGCATTTCCCCTTTTGCCTATACAGCCAGCTATGACCTCAAAGGAATCTAACAACAGCCATTAGAATATTAAAGGACATGTTTTATTAAAAATGTTTTTTTTATTTTCATACAAGTAACCGCAAGTATACCACTACATCTTAACAAGCATTATTTTATATTATCCAATATTATATCAATTCCTCTTGCCATCCATTCACATTTGCTCTTCTGCTTCTACATCATGTTATACCCTATTCCACCATTGTCCTCTCTCCTTCTCCTCACTCGACTCCTCCTCCCTCTCCTACTCTTTTCCTCCCCTCTACTTCCCTCTCTTGGAATATTAAAGGACATGTTCTTGCAGAGCAACAGGAAGCTCAAAGCCCAAAGAAGGTATATAAAAACCCACCCTCTCTCAACTCCATTTTGTCAACTATCTTCGAATCACATGTGCTTGGTGGTTTTGCTTCGTCAATAAAGGGAACCTTTCTTTCCAGACTCCATTTTATTTCCAGTGCCTTTCTCCTGGATTGGAACTGAACCAGATAAGATTTTTCTTCCAACAGAATGGAACAAGGTTCCTCATTCCTGACCCAATCTGCTTTATTCACACAGTAAGATCTTCACTTCTTGTACTTTAACTAACAGAAAGTTCATTAGGACTGGAGTGAGTCCCAATTAGCCTCCTCCAAAGGAATCTTCACCATAGGAAGGAGCCAGGGGCACTCATAATTTAAAAGTATATTAGATGAGAGAAACAAGTCCTTCAATGTTTCCCCTTTGATTGCTATTATTGTCACTATCCATTTCTATTTTATTCCACTGAAACCATATTTTCTTTTTTATTCTGTTCTATAATCTATTTTTTTACAATGCTTTTTAGGATAGAGCCATTCCATCCAACATTTGCAAAAAGGATATAGCTTTATAAAATGTTCATAAAATTTTACAAGAAAATTTAAAACCTCATACCAGCATATCGGAGTATTCTTTTATTGCATATGTTTAGAATAACTGCACTTTATTAGTTCCGAATTCAGGCTAGAAAGATTATAATAGGTAGTTATTAGGATATGATTATAATAAGTTGTTATTAGGATATGATTATAACATGTAGTTATTAGGATATGATCTTTCTGTTTGTAATAATTAGTGAGAGAAAAGTGAATTAGTATTACTTATATACCGTCCTATCAAGGACATACGATAACAGTAATCAACTGAAGAATTAAACATGAATTAAACAATTTAAAACTTTTGGCCTCTACAAAGTCTTAGTCTTTCTGTCACTTTGGATAATCCGTTTCCTGATATATATTGAAACTTTAAAAAAAAGAGTGCAACTAAGAATTAATATTTTTTTAAAAAAATCCAAAATTATATCTGGAATTGGGTAACACTCTGTGCCAAGTGCACTAAGCCAATGAAATACAATATTCCATTAAAGGCTCAGAACATAATGAATTAATTCAGGATGAGAGAAGAAACTAAGGAAAACCAGAGATACGAAAGGAATGGAATCTCTGGCATGTTTGGCTTAAACTTTTAACATTTGTTATAACTAATATACCAACACAAGTATTTTTAATCATCAAGAACAATGAACATTCAATTGTACAAAAAATATGCAGTGTTTCAGCCCTAGAGACAATCCCCCAGGTCTTCTTTTAAAGGCTAATGCAATGGTTTATAATTCATTTGAGATACATGACTTGAAGCAGGTGAGCAGACGTAATACAGGAATGATCAATGTTTCTCTGTCAATGGATGGAAGGTATCATACAATAGTACAGCCACACTTTTTAGGATAATCCTCTGCATAGACCTTGTGCTCATTCCCGTAGACATAATAGGAATAGGATTTCCTGTGCCATTCATATTCCACTTTGGTAAGAAATACCAGCTCAATGGTTTGCCTCTGCAAAAAGATAAAAGGTATAATTATTAGGGAACGCAGTGGCGCAGTGGCTGAGCTTGTCAGTCAGAAAGGTTGGCAGTTCGGTGGTTCGAATCCCTAGCGCTGCGTTAATGGAGTGAACTCCCATTACTTGTCCCAGCTTCTGCCAACCTAGCAGTTCAAAAGCATGTAAAAATGCAAGTGTAGAAAAATAGGAACCAATTTTGTTGAGAAGGTAACAGGATTCCGTGCACCTTCGGGATTTAGTCATGCCGGCCACATGACTACAGAAACGTCTTCGGACAGCACTGGCTCTTCGACTTTGAAATGGAGATGACCACCGCGCCCCCTAGAGTCAGGAATGACTAGCACATATGTGCAAGGGGAACCTTTCCCTATAATTGTCATCTTTCAAACAGCCAGCTCTTTGAGAAACAGATTGGAAAGTATTATTTAGGGGCAATCAATTTCCACAAATCCAGCTGGTGATTTTCCCTTGGGGAGAAGATTACTTTCCCTTCCCACTCTTTGTTCTTACTCTGAGCACCACATTTTTACTTTTAATTAGGTGCCCACTGGGGAAGGAACCCTTACACTCAGCGGCTAGAGAATTTTGGAAAGCAAGTTGAAAAGGGTCCATAGTAAGAGAGATTAAGAGAGGCTCAAAATCCCACATAATTGTTGAGTGTTCTGCATTACCTTGGGCCAGTCATTTATCCTGTACTCTAAGGCAGGTTGTGGGCACAAAATGAGAGGAGATTCCCCATCACTACCATGAGCCTGCCACTTTAGGGAAGAGGTAGATCTATGCATGCATAGATAATGACACCTGGGTATAAAGCAACCAAACCAACAATGGCTTGCTGTTATAATTTACTTGTTTTTTTAATCTTTCTGGCTTCTTTGAACACTTGCTTGTTTATAATTTCAATGTATTAGACCAAGGCTGTCAAACTTGCATTGTCCCGGCAGCGTCACGTGACATATCATGACTTTTTCCCCCTTTGCTAAACTGGGGGTAGGCATGGCCAGTGCATGATGCTCTGGCCCGCGGGTTGCGAGTTTGACACCCCTGTATTAAACTAAGTCCCCTTTGCTGTACATAACTGAATACATAGCTATTCTGACACACACACAACCCGTCGCCATCCAGGAACAAAAGCCAAAAACAAATGTAAAGAAGAATACTCAGTCCAGACTCTCGTTGGCTGCAAGCCCAAAATAAACAGAGATAAGCACTCTGGCAGCAACTCCTACGAACCTAGGCAGCAAATGCAAACAAACTCTGGCAGCAATCCAACTTGCCAAGTTGATTTCTCTTAATCGTGAACGTTGACTTCTGCAAAAGGGCATGGCACAAGCAGTCTCTTTTATAATCAGGAGAGGATCTTAATAAGCATCAGCTGAGCGTAATCATCTCGTATAATTACGCAGTTGTTCTTGCCACCAAGTAGCCCTTCGACTGCGTGCATCCCGAAACAACTCACAAGTGTTTTCTGGATCACTCCCTCTTGTCCCCTCCCCATTGATCCAAGGCTCAGACACCACCTGGTGGCCAACCAGTCTCTCCTTGCCCTGCTCGGAGTCGGAACCCTGTCCAGGGTCCTCCACTTCCTCCAGGGCCGACTCATAAGACCCCTCGCTGTCGGAGTCTGGCGGCAGCTCCAATGGCTCCTGCCAGGCCACAACACATAGCCCTCTCCATCCATCCATCTATCCACTGATTTTTTGACTTGTATCCCCCCCTCCCTCTCCCCCCTTCTCTGTGTTTAAGAGCCATGGTGAAGCATGGTGAAGCAGTCATTAGAATGCAGTACTGCAGGCTACTTCTGCTGACTACCGGCTGCCGGCAGTTCAAGTCTCACTAGGATTAAGGTTGACTCAGCCTTCCATCCTTCTGAGGTCAGTAAAATGAGGACCCAGATTATTGGGGGCAAGATGCTGACTCTCTAAACCATTTAGAGATAGCTGTAAAACACTGTGAAGTGGTATATAAGTCTAAGTGCTATTGCTGTTAAGGCAGTATATGTGTTGTCTCCCCTCCCCCACATCACTCAGGAAGTTGCTACTGTAAATAATTCTGCAATATTCTTTTAAAATATTTCATTCATTAACTCTATTAATTAATTAAATTAAAACATTTATGTTATGCAGAATACAAGTTTTCTGGACTCTCTGGACTTCCTAGTACATCCATTAGGATGTCTATAAAGACCGTTTCTTGTAATTTAAGCCTTTTCTGCACGTTTGATTTTGCTTTCTTTTCCACTCCAACATAATGAATATGTTCTGTATATATTAAAGATATATGGATTAGTTTTTAATCATGTTATTAAAGTGTAAATTGCTTGGGAAACAGAACCGAGGTATATTAAGAAGGAAGTCTTGGCATTGAATCTTCCTTTTGACAGAGACATTAATAAAAGCAAAGAACAAGAAACTGCTAGAGGTGTTCATTGCAATCTAGTCTTTTGTCTTCACAAGAAGAATAACACTGCAGTTTGTGGCTCACTCGCAGTAGAAATAGTGAGTCTAGATTTATAATTCCAGTAAATAAGCATTTTAGAAATATATTAAAGTTGCAATGTGGGTCAAAACCTCTCTACCTCTTATGACTTCTTGATTCTTGTCAACTTTCTTTTGAAATAATAGAAATCACAAGGTGACAAATTCTTAAGCCCCTCACCCAATCCAGCTCCTCTGTCCCTAATCAAAGATGTTTTATCTTTAAAAAGAATATGCAAAAGCTTCCCAGTCCTATCTCCATCTCTAATTGATATGAATCTGACATGAAACACAAAAAGAAATTGGGAAAAAAAATAAGGTTGTAGGAACTAGAAGAGTCCCTAGTAGTATAGGACTTAAGTTTGGGAGAGTTGAGACTATATCAGCTCTTTGGATAATAGGCCAGAAGCTGCATTTTAAAAGGCAGACAGATAAATTTAAATTATAAAATTTAAATAATTAATTTTAGGTTAATACATTAATTCAATACAGGTAGTAATTTTTTTCCTTAAATTTTCTATTTCCTTAAGTTTTAATTTGCACGTGGCTTTTACAGGAGCACTGAGAACCACATATTTGGGATATAGGTGTACCCTTACATCATGCCTACTGATACAAGAGCAACAAATTAACAACATGCATGAAATTATTTTATCATGGTGAGACGGAATAGCTCCATGCCGAGATATTTCCCTTCGAGGGTGGAGGTTCATTCTTTGAGATTGTGGATTGGTTTCCGAACATGGTTTCTTCATAAGCTGGGAGAATGAGCCTCCACCCTCATTCAACAGCCGAGCTACAGACATTTGCCATCGTTGCATATTTCCCTTTCTTCTATACACCCTATCAGAAAGGCATATAAATCAGTTAATCCATAGTACCGCGATGGATCATCACATTACAAAAAGCGTTTTGCCAATCTCTGTTGCGCTCACCTGTCTCAGTATCCGTGCAGTAGATCCAAACTGAGCATGATGTTGTTCAATGGCATTTCGGGAAGCTTGATTAATAGCACAGATAGGGAAGCTTACCACTGGATGAACCTAGGAAAACAACATTTTTAGGAGATATAAAACTCTAGAACATTAAAATGAAGGGATGGGTAATGTTATTGTCCTACACCCGTGATGGCAAACCTATGGCACGTGTGCCAGAGGTGGCATACAGAGTCCCCTCTGTGGGCACGCGTGCCATCGCCAGCTGCTCTTCGCGGGTGCCGGAAAACAGCCAAAAAATGGTCAAAAAAAGGGCCTATTTCTGGGCCATTTGGGGGGCCTTTTACACACTGAAAAATGATCCAAAAATGCTGTGAAAACGGTCCCAACAACAGCCCCAAAACTGGGATGCGCACACCAACCAGCTGATCTTTGGGTTTCAAGTGCTCCGATGTGTACGAAGACCAGTTGGCTGGTGCACATGCATATGCACTGGACAGCTGGTCTTTGGGTATCTAGTGCTCCAGTGCACACACATGCACGCACATCAGTGGTGGGTTCTGGATCCCAGTGTAACTGGCATGGTGCAACGGGGCCCGGCGTTCACCACACACACAAGCGCAGAGCGTGCATGTGTACTTACTGCCCCTGATGCTCTGTGACACCTCTGCGAAGTTCCAGCTGCTCGCAGAGCATTGCGTAGGTGCCGTATGCTCCGTGTGCGTAAGCCCCGATCGGCTCAAATGCAGGTAAGGAGGGCGGGCAGGCGGGCCCTCCGGAGCACCGTACTGGGAAGGTACCCGGTGCTCCCAGCTAGCCGGGGCATACCAGTCGTATCCCACCACTGACGCACATGCATGC